TTCAGGGAAGAGAAATCCTTTGAGGGTTTATTTAACAAATATCCAAGGAAGTTCCAAATTAAAATGAGCAGAGATTAGGAGTTAATTTAAAAGACGATAACCACATGTGAATTTTTTGTTCTTACAATATTTCCAAGCCTGCCATTTCTCTGCCTCTTCCCAAACCACTTTTGGGTACTAGTTTACTGATGCTTCTTCCTGTAAGTGCTCAACAGCTGCACTATACAAGTATATGGTTAGAGCCTGGTCCAGTCACTGAGGCTGGACACACAAACTCACCAGAGTTCATTCGGTCCCTCTCTCAAGGACTTGTATTACGCTATATCCATTTTTTTTCTGATCTGTCCACAATTAGTCTTTATAACTGGAATGCATAACCTAAAAAATAATCTATGAAATGTGTATTTCCTACAGGTACTAGATGAAGAAGCTGAAGTTTTCATAGTCAAAATGTGGAGGTTGTTGATATACGAGACAGAAGCAAAGAAGATTGGCCTAGTGAAATAAAGCACTCTCCTTGCTTCTAGGGTTCCATTTCAATTTTGGGCTTTTTTTTCCCCCCATTGTTCAGAGACTTGGAATTTTCTCTGTTCTCAGAGACTTGAGACCTGTATTTTTTTATGTAGAAAATGTGAATTTTTTTGTCCTCTGCTCTGAGGCCCCTTTTACCCTTCTGAATTAGTTATCAAATCCTGCATTGGTTCTCTTTATAATACATGAGGTACAATTACCAGTATGTTTTATAAGCTGCAGCTACTGTACATGCTCTTTGGTAATTTTGTTATGTTACTCTGATTCTTGTAAATATTAAAAAAAAAAAATCCCCTGTTTTGCAAAACATTTGCACTTAATGTGGAACTATATCAGTTACAGATGAAGACAAAGGATTTTACTGCAAGTTTATCAGTCTTTTTTTGGGAGCATACTTCCCCTTTTTAATTTAAGAAGTGATCAAAATACAATTTAAAAATAAGTGTCTTGAGCTGTTTTCACAGAACAGCTTTGTGTGGTCATTTGATCTCTTCATCTGACTGGAAAAGGATTTCCTTCAAACCTCTCTTTCTAACGTGAGCCCGTAGTAATCTTGGCACTTTGTTGCCCATTAAGAGTTACTAATGAAGCTGGGAACCTAATCTCTTGCAGATTCTGTCTTTCCCAGAAAGTGCAAATCACAGGAAGTTTTTTATTTGCTCAGTTAAAACAAGAGCAGGACCTAAATTCAGTAAGTGCTACCTAATGGTTTTTGGGGTTTTTTTCTGCTCGATTTCATTCTAGCCCTACCTACTATCCCTTCTGTCTCCAAAATAATCAGATGGTTTTTTTAAGAAGAAACTATTTTTTAAAACTTTTTTTTTTAGTATTTAGAAACAAAACAAAAAGCCCTGTTTGAATGTGACTGTCTCTTAAAAAAAACCAACCAACCATGTAAACTAAAACATAAGTTGTCAAACAAAGCTGAAATCTTGTTTTTATCCATACTGTTAAACTAGCCCTGACTTTTGTTTTCTACTGTATGCAGTCTGTTGTCCACAAAAAGAGGGTAATATTTTCCTGCCTTGTTTGTATGTTTTTTTTATAAATAGACTGATATGGTATAAATGATGACATGTACTGTAAACTGCATTTTTTTTATCTCATACCTGGGTAAGAAGTCAAATCTATAATGTGCTGTGAGCTGTTTTGATTGCAGGAGGACTGTGTTCCAGGGAGCAAACGGTCTCAAAGTTATTTTTAATTTTTGAAACAAAATTCTTAATATCAAACAAATTAAGTAAAGGTGTTCCAGTATCTCTGTATTGTATTTAACTGAAGGATACAGGTTGACCTGTTCAGAAAACATAACTGTGACCTTGAGTTACTAGTTGTTGGTATCTGGAGAGGACACTTGAAAACACTGTTCTTAACAATTGGGATCGTGTATAGGTTCCACCATGTAAATATTTCAGATATTAAAAAATGTATATATTTGATTGAAGGGTTGACATTCTTTTGGAGTCTTATGCAGCATGCAATTGTATTTAATACTGCTTACTGAATCAAGTGTTCCCAATTTAAGGTGGGGGTGGAGTGGGGTGTGTTTAAAACTACCTCCTGCTTATATCAGGTGACTAGAAGCCTGCAAATTTAGATGTGATCCCAGTATGTTCTTTCTCATCTCTGTGGTACTACACTACACGCCACCAAATGTTCTTTTTTAACTTGAAGTGTCATGCTCAGATGTTCCTTTCATGTTGTGCTTGAGTTTGCCTGAGACTGTTTTGGTTTGCATGCTTACATGTTGCAATCTTCCTATTTTTTTCTGCAACTTGATGGTTGCAACCCTAAGAAATTACTTCCCTGTTCTCCCTATACAGTTCTGCATCTTCATTTATCAAAAAGTTTTCAAATTCTAAATAAATTCAAAGCTTGCTCTGTTTGTAGCAAATACAGAGAAGATGGAGACTGAACATCACGAGTTTTTGACCTGGTAAATGGCATTCTCTGTCATGAGTAGTAGTTAAACAAGACAAATGTGACAAACACATTGTAGTGCCGCTGTGTGACAGATTGCCCAACATCCTCATCTGAATTCTTCAGAGAAAGCTCAAGTTGTGGAACTTCAGTTAATTTCTGCCCTAAACTAAAGCTGTGTGTGCAACAGACATAAGCTTGTACTCTCCTAAGGAGACTGAAGGTGCTGGGATGAGAAAGACATGTAAACTCTAAGCTGGAGTGTTAAATATCTAGGTAAATAAGTATATAGAATCATTGTGATATCATCAAAAAATCAGTTTTGTGGAAGTTCAGGTTTTCTTCAGTAGTGGAAGAAGAAAGGAATGTTCACTAGATGAACTCTGGTTTGGCTTATCAACAAGTATAAAGTCACTTCTACTTTTACTATAAGTTTTGTTATTATGTCTCAGTGATACTGCATTTTGTGCCAGTGACGCTGGGGAGTATAATACAAGTTATGTACTGGTGAGGTTCTTAGCATAGAAAGTAACTTCTGTTTGTTAGCTTTCAACATGTGCTGACAGAATTATTTCAAGATAAATATGGAAAATCTGGGGCAGAGAAAGCCTTTTTTGCCAATATCACCACACTTCACTGTCTGCATGTATGATTTAATACTCTCTGTTAGGTTAGACACAGATCAAGAGAGTGCTCAGAATGGGATACATGAGTAAAGTACAGATGTTGCCACCAGGTACTCAGCACATCAAACCATAGTACAACCCATACTGTGAGGGAGAGTTCCAGAAGTTCCACACACTGTGTAATGAAAAAATACCAGTATTTGCACAACAGAACTGGATGTCCTTGTTTATCTGGACCTTACAGTGGAATAAGGCTTTAAAACTTGACATAACATGCTCTTACTCTCCTGATAAGCATTTTGTGTAACTACCTTTCAGTGTTTGGAATATGTCAATACAAAATCAAAGTATCATTTTTCTTCATTAATACGCACTGAAAAGAAATGGGAAACAAGGAGCAAGTAAGATCCATTACCAAGAAATATATATTTTTATATTATCTTCTAAGTTGGTGAGAGTCTTATTTTGTTCTTAGAGTATTTAACCTTCTCACCTGCTGATTTGGTCTTTTTAATCGTATCTGTTTTCTTCTCTTTAGGCAGGAACCTGTACTAAAATAATGATCTAGCTAGATGGTCATGGCTCTAAATGTGGGCAGGGGAAAGGCCCTAAACAGTGAGTTTAGCTTCTTAATGAATTCCTGTGTCTTACCACTAATGCTTTCCTATTACTGAGAGGGAATTAGACCTTTCATGTTCTTATTAAACAGGGTTGCTAGATAGCTGCTTGCAGGAGTAGTATTTTGGAAAGTGGATATGCCGAAACCTGCAAGCTGTTAGGTTTCATATTACAATTGAGTCACGCTTTTTCATATTCCGTTCACTATCTGGTGTAGGAACGCTGAGTACAGAATTAAAAATTAGTATACATTCATGCAGTGTGAACAGTATAAGGTATTGTTTAATAGACACTTTATTGTAGATCAAACTGATACTAATAATAGAAAATAGTTTGGTACAGCCGTATGCCTATGTTTGGTTGGTTGAGTTTTTTGTTTGGCTGTTTCTCCTTTTTAAACTACAAGTAGTTTTATTTATGGTTAGACATCACTTTCAGTCTAAAAATGGCTTCTTCTAAATGCATTTTGTATTTCTGTGAGCTGTTGAAAGTCAGTTTGCATTGCAATACTTACATAAAAACTTTTAGTTGCAATAGTTCTGTCCCACTTAATTGTAGCACAGATTTTCCTGTAGTGTAGTCAAATACTGAAATACAACATTGTTCTAAACATGCAGAATTGCATGGCCCCTCAGATTTTACATTTTTTATATTGAGTGGTTCTATGTATCATAGCATTTGCAATATGTTACTGACCCAATTGATCATGCACTTGAAAAGGCATTGTGGATGATACTTCAAATATGGATAGCAAGGTAAGTTTCAAATATAGAATTGACTTTTTTGTTTTTTCGACCAGCCAGTCATAGGTGAACTTCTTGAAAAAATACCACGTTGACTTTTAATACTGTTCTTATTTTGAAATATAAATGTCCCCTTAAGTTACTTACTTAACGCCATTTTTGTGGGACCATTTTAAAAAAGGGTTACTGGCATATGTATGACTTGTATTCAAAAGAGCCGAGAAGTGTATTTTCTCATAAAACCTGTCTTTATCTGGCACCAGGTTAAAAATGTCAAGCTGCATTTCCTTAGCACGCTTCCTCGCGGCTGGACTCAGCGAGTGCTCACTCTGCTGTCCAGCCAGCCTCTCCCAATCGCTGCCTGTCCTCAGTTCCCACCGCGTGTCTTGGTTCCCGGCCCTCGCTGACGGAAAGCTCTCACTCAGCGTGTTCTTTGCGAGGCGCTGCACCGTGCGCCCTGCGCACCGGCCTTGCCGGGGCCGGTGCGGCGGGGCCCCGGCCAGGGCGGCTCCTCAGCGCCCGTCGGAAGTGAGGTGGCGGCAGGGCGGGGCGCGGGCCGGAAGCGAGCGGGCCGGCTGCGGGCGGCGAGGAGCCGGTGGCGGAGTGCGGGGCAGGGCTGCCGTGCAGGTCCGTCTGTCGGCGGGGGCCGGCGCAGCCCCGGCGGGGCGAGGGAGGGCGCGGCGCTCAGCGGGCCGGGCGGCGCTGGGGGGCCGGCGCGCTGCGCCACCGGGGACGGGCCGGGCCCGCTGTTCGGCGAGCCCTGCGGCACACGCCCACGGGCCGGGGAGGGTCCCTGCCGCTCTCCTGCTGCCCAGAGCGCCGGGCTTGGGCCGCTGCTGACACCGAGCGGGGTCGGGCCGGGGCCTGACCGCACCCTCAGCGCCGCGGAGGCCTCCCCGGGGCTGGGACCGCTGTGCCTCGGCTACGGCGGGGCTGCTCCGGCCCGAGGCAGGGCTGAGGACGGGGGTGGCGGGGGTGCCCCCAGAGCGGTGGCAGCTGCTTCTTGCTGCTCACTTCAAGGGGAAAGCACGGGTTAACCGCGCCGCGTTTGTCTGATCGATACTTGCTTTGCTTTCTCTTCTGCGAGTAGCTTACTTGGCGTGTCACCTCTGTTTATTAGGCTAAATGTAAGCGCATGACAGCGACAGTTGTAACTCCTGTTGTTCTGACCTAGGAAAGCCAAAGGAAGCAAGGAAGAACTTTTTTAGACAGGCTATTTTAACATTAACAGCTTCATTAGGAAAAAAAATATGTCTTGGTGAGTCCCTTTTCAGGTAAAACAAGCAAAGTTTTAGTTTGTGTCTGTATATACACAGTTCATTTATAAATTTCATTCATTCATAGTTACATTTCAAATTAAAATTTCATTTATTTAGGAATATAAAATAAAGTTGTTTGGGAAGATGTCCTGAATCTATTTTCAAAACAAACTGTTTTAACAAACTATCAATTTTGAGGTCTGTCATTCAAACTTTGGTGAAGCTCTTCCATCAGTTACGCTTCCCTGTCTTCTGATTCTCTCAGCTTATCAGTAGCTGAGGGTTTTTTGTTTGGTGGATTTGTACTGGCTTTCTTTACCAGTCTATAAGCAGGATTTTGTGGTTGGTGTTTCGTTTTGGTTTTCTCTCCACTCATTTAATTAGAATTTTAACATGCTGCTGTGTGAAAAATCTCATTCTGATAGTCCACATCTGGTTGAAAATTTTCAATTTTTTTCATTGTGGTTGCCCTGTCACTGAGAAATACTACCAGTAGCAGCCTTAAAACTACATTGTTTTTATTCTGTAGCCCAACCAAAGAATTAGAGTAAAATTTTAAAAATAGGAGCAGTGTAATTAATACTTATTTTCATCATCTGATCTTACATTTAAATTACATTATAAATTAGATGTGCCCTATTTTTAATGGCAAATATGGAAGGGAGCTATTCTAGTGAATACTACATTTACTTTCTTTTTCCAGCAGGTTGCATGCTCCCAGTAGACTTGTTAAATTGGTGTGGCTTCCTATTGGCTCTTCACTAAGTTAGCTGCCAAAGTTAGTAAGCACTGTGCCCTGGTCTTGTTAGGTACATATTTATTTGTAAATAGAGAAACAGCTTCTGTTCTGTTTATGAAAATAGGCTTAGCTCTCTCTTTAAGTACGATACTGTCTTGCAGCACTTGTATCTTGTTGCTGCCAAAAGTGAGAGGCTTTCTTTTGTGATGTCCTCTGTTGTAAGAATTTTTCAAGATCTCTCAATGCATTAACTGATTATACTAAAGCAGCAGAAAAATATTTTTGGGGGTTTTTTTCCTGGATTTGTTTTCTTCCATTTTAGTGAATAAAATTACTGTAAAGAGTTCTGGTGAGTGCTGGAATTCACACAAGGGAGGAGCCACTTGGGATGGACTGGCACTCCACCCTTGAGGTGTATTCATTATTTATTTTTTATGTGACCAAGCCTGTGATTTATCTAGGCCAGCTCATTTTCTCTTAAAATCATTGGGCTTTTTCCTGAAATTTATTTAGGTTGGTAAAACTTCCTCTTTCCCCTATATTGCTGTAGCTGCTTTTGTTATGGAACATATAGTTCACATAGGACAATTTTCTCATCTGAATTTCTCCAGGAAGACCATATAAAGCTGTTATATACATGTGGCGTGTAGATGTAGCTGGTACATAAAGGGAACTGAATGCATGTTAGTTCTTGAGGCTCAGCTGAAATACTGTCTTGTGTAGCACCAGGTCACTTTTGTAGCATCACAGTGTTAAGGAAATGTCTAGATTTTAGATAGTCAACTGTAACTCAGTCATCCTTGAAAATTGCTGTTAAATTTATCAGCAATCCAAAACAGAACAACTTGGAGCAATTGTGCTCTGCTGAGATAAAACATGGAAGTTGTGCCCTGAGCAAGTATGCAATGCTTCTCATTTATTGCACAAGAAGGAATGAAGAACTGTTTAAATTATTAGTTTGTTGCTGACAGATTTCTGTAGCTGATGAACTAATTTGATAACACTTAGAGGCCCTTATTTTTGTGCTGGAAAATCCCTATTATGACCTTAGTAGATGTGATAGTTTGGTATCGTGGTTAAATACAGAATGGTTGTCTTTGTTATATGTGAACTCCAGAAACTGGAGTAGGAAGGGAAGGGAAAACCTGTTCGTGTTAAGAACAAAGGTTTTTTACACATCTCTTTCCTTTCAGCATCTCAAGAAGAAAGGTCAGTTTTGTGTGGAAATAAGCGATTGCCAGAGGACTGTCCCAATGACAGAGCTGTCTGCACATTTACCCCAGTTTCAGCATGGGCAGCTGACAGAAAACTTCCCTGATACCCACCTCAGCAACACCGTATGTAACAAACAATTTTAGTACCTGCTAGCAGTTAAATGGGGATGAATAAATAGTTTGTTGGGGTACATTTTATCTTTCTGAACTGTTGTGGTGATAAGCAGTGCCAAAAGAAATATGGTGCAAAATATCTGATGTTCTAAACTCATTTTTATGTACAAATAAGACCTCCCCCCGTTTAAAGTGGTGTTGGAGTGACCAAGCTATCAAGGGGAAAAAAAAAAGGGTCAGACACTCTGGTATCAAACACTGACATTTACAGTATTTAGTGAGCTCTCATGATCTGTCTGGCTGTGGTCTGCTTGATTCACAGGTTTCTCAGTCACAGAGTTAATTTTAGTCTAGGTAGAGCTTGAAGCCTGGGTTTTGTTACTGCTGTTGCTGGAGGACTGTTCCTATGCAGGAAGAACAGCTCTGTCTTGTCTTACTTGTGAATAATTTTGAAGGTGCTCTCCTGGTTCTTGAGGTTTTGGGGGAGGAGGAACTCAAAACCTGAAGTTTTATATGATTGGTTTGAAAGACCTAAGTTCATACTTGTTGCTAAAACTATACCATTGTACCATATGTATTTTGGAAAAATCAGGTTTAGATGATCTACTTGGGTGTGGTGCTCAGGTTCTAAGACTTGTTACACTGTTCCTTGTTCCTGCTATAGCTCTTGAATATCAGGTTTCCTTGTGGCACAGAAATGCTTTTGTGAAGCTGGGCCACTTGTAATTGTGTCTATAGCAATAATTCAAGAGAATGTTCTGATTCCTGCTTCGAGTCTTCTGTACAATCAGCAGTTTAAATAGAATTTTGAAAAATGCTCAGATAAGCATCATGCTTATCAGATATAAAAATATAAAACATTTGAAAAATTAGAAAAGTGGGAGCTTTCCTACTGCATCCCTTCTCCTTTTACTTCAGAGGAAATGGAAAAGGTTTCTTTTCCTCTTGGACAGGTGAAAGATTAATTGTTATTGAAAACTTCTGCCAGATTAAAAAGGCAGAGCTCAGTAGCAAGCTGTGAGCTCACCATCCTTACAGATAACTTGGTGGTGCTCCTTACCAGCGAAGGGTTCTATGTTGTTCTCACTAACACACTGTACTGATGAATAACTGCCACTTGTGCCTTTCCTTTCCATGTTTAAGTAACTGTAGTTTTGATACTAAGTTATAATGGTGTTTCTCCCCTTGACACATCTACTTTTTTTTTGTACACACCTACAAAAGTCCTTTCCTGCTTAAGTATATTAGCTTCTGTGGCTAACAAGTCAGCGTGTGAAATCCCAAAGTGCTATAATTTGCCATCTCTTCTTCTAGTCACACACTAAGAGTTCAACCCAGTGTTCAATATCGCCACTGCATAATGACCTTTTAACATCAGTGGTGTATGTGAGAACTGATGAAGTCCATGCCCACTCTCAGGCATGGTGGTCTGCTCCTGATGGATAAATCTGGATTTAATAGCTAAAAACTTCTTATCAAATGTGCTGTGTTTTTATCTCTTGGTTCAGGGGCATTGGTCTGGGTTTGCTATTAACTATTTTCCTGATAGGGAAAGAAACCACTATCATTTGATATTGATATTGTTTATTCGCCTGAAAGCGTAGTTCATAACTTACATTTGCTTACGGTGTTACAACAGGTGTTACTGACTTTTTAGCTTCAGAGTTTTCACTTTTAACTATGTCTGAGGAAAGTGAAGAGTCTGTTCCTTTGCTTCCACTTCAGCAAGAGTCCATGGCCTCTGCTCTGTTTAATACTGATCAGGTAGGATATAAGTGCACTTTGTTCTTTTAAGCAGTGGGGCACACGCATGTAACATTTAGCTACACTTTAGTAGCCTGAAAGGACAGCTTATTTTCTATCTTTAAGTGCAAATGAGAGAATAACTTTTGTAACTCTTGATGCTGATCTGGTTTTCATGCACTGTGTTTTAGTATGTAAAGGCCTTTTTTGATTACATCTTTGTTCCTAAGTAGTGAAGGGAGTAAAATGATACATATTGGTCTAATTTCTTCCATTTTTCTATTTGTTTGATATAACAGGTTTTTGTAGTGGTGTGCTTAGTTGATCAGGCTTTTCCTTTGGATGTTTTTGTGTTTACTCTGTGAAGCTGTAGCTTTTTAACTTATCTCAATATATTTCTGTTCCAGAGATGGGGTAAGTGCTCCCTCATGCAAGACTGTTATTACAGCAGAGAAAAAGCTACACATTCGGCAAGTGTGCAGAAACCTAAGAGCTCGGTCTGCTCTGCTTGTGCAGAGTTCCAAGGCTCTGTTCATCTCCAGTGTATTGTTACTTATGATCATCTTAGGCAATTTAGATGGTTACACTTATTGTTGTCTTGCTGTAAACTCAGAGAAATGGAGTATTTTACTATCAAAGTGAAAAATGTTACATTTCTACTATAATCTGTACAGAAATAGGTTTAGTTGTAGCCAGCATTTCAGATTAATTATACATGACCTCTTTATTTGCATTCTCCCTTATTCCCATTTCTATCTGATTTTCACCAATTGTATGTGAGGACTTCATGCAAAATGCCAAGTGATTTATAATAAATTTTTCATTCAGTAAGAAATAATTTTGATCCCAGCATCTTTTTCAGTGCATATTTCAAATTAATGATACTAAATTCAAACTGAGGTTAAAACTGTGACTCTAAAAACCTGGTTGTGTCCTAGTTCTAATTGTTAAATTCAAACAATTTTAGTTCGGGGTTTTTTCTCCTCTTACATTCCAGTTCCTTATTGAAAAGTGAAACAGATTTTCTTAGAGGACAGATCTTGAAACCCTGCTGAGCTTGATCCTGAGGAACCACAAAAAAAAAGAAGGAATAGGCAGAGCATTTGGTGCATATTATTACTTTGTACTGCTTTGTAAAAGCAAATTTTTCGTAAGTTGGGCAAGTTGTAAAGCTTCAACCAGGGTTTTAGCAGTGTCAGTATTTACAGTTCGAAGTCCAGGGACTTGTGCTCCTTAATTACTTAAGTGCTTTTAAAAACCCCACTAGGAGTTTCTGAGTGTACTTACCGTCTTCTCTTTTCTGAGGGTGGGGCTGGGAAAATTCTGTAGAGAGAATCTCTAAAATTATTATTGATTTATCGAAAAACTGCAGTGAATTAATGAGACACAAGTCAGTAGTTATGTTTAGAAATGCTACTGAGGTCAGGTAATTAGACTTCAACATTGCACATTTAAGGAAAAAACTACCTGAGTAGGAATACTTAAGGAAAAAATCATTAGGTTATTTTCAGTGTCCTGTCTTATGTCCAGATCAATTTTAAGAAAACTGAATGATACTTCAAAGGTATTGCAAAAGGTATCATCCTTCAGTTTATTGTACATTTTAATCTAATGCTGTTTTGGTGCACTTAGTCAAACAGAACTGTTCTGCAGGAAGTAATTTAGAAGCAATGAGATTAATTTTGTAAGGAATCAAAAATTTTTTTCCTCCTATATTAAACCTCTTGAATGTGAACAGTACAGCACTGATTTTGGACATGGTAATGCACTAAAAAAATGAGTGGTCTGTATCAACTGTCACATTTTAGTGCTTGTTTAGAGTGTCTGGTAATGATTTTATTTCTTTGTAGTCCAGAAAAGATAAAGCATAGATCACGCTCCTGTTGTGCTCTCTGTCTGTGCACACAACATAGAAAAGGTGAATGCCCCCTGCTTATGGTGCTTCTTGAAGAGGGTGCAAAAGATTTGTGATACCAGGAGCTTGGAGTGCAGGCCTGATCACTTGCTAATAGGTGATGTTCCCAGTTTGTGCTTTTGCTTCCTTTGGAAGTTCACCGCTCTCTTGGTGTTTGAATTATATGCTTGATGTTTCATGTGTTACACCCTTCATGTTTCAGTAGGAAGGACAGGAAGCTCTTTCATACTTGTGATAAGAGTGATGGAATTTCTTCAATATTAGTGAAAGGATGTGGCAGTAGTTTCCTTGGGAAAGAAGAAAATCTGCATGCTTAACTTTTCATGCTGAAACTTTGGGATCAAATAGAAGTCTAAAGACTGAAAATAACCTGAGTTTAATCATCATTTCTGTATTATTTTTACTAAAAACATGAGAATACCATACCTCATGAAAACCCATTTTAATATATATTTTACTTGAGTATACTCTAGTGGAAGTAACACAGTAAAGGAAGGAGGCATTTTCTTGGGATTTTCATGGAGTGGGAATCCTAAATGTTTGGCATTATTTTTAAGGGTCAATACAGCTTATTCTTGTCAAGTTACAGGCATTTTACTGTCATGCATCCTTTTACCAACTGTAGTTTGAATCAAGGGAAAGAGATTCCTTTATTAATCTTTTGAAATTCGGTTTGAAGGAAAGACTCTTAGATGCCACCTGCCTACTTTTGACTGTTGATGTTTTTAATGTAAATGTTTCTAACATGACCCTGTGCTCCCATTCTTTTAATAACTCTGATGCAGTTAATTACTACTGTTTAAATCCCTGTTGTAGCAAGTGTTCTTGGCAGTAAATATTATCTTACATGTTTCCTCCTCAGGGTCATCTTTAGCTTAACGTACAAGCTCATGATAGTAGAGAGTTGCTGAGGACAGTGGTTTTTGTGTTGCAGAATGACAGCAGTGAAAGACGTCGCCATGATAATAGTGAGCGCAGAAGAAATGACAATGCCGAGTCTGAGACCAATGGGCAGCCACAAAACAACATTCAGCGCGTGGTGGAGCAAGATGAAGAAGAAGATGAAGAGCTAACACTGAAATATGGGGCAAAACATGTGATTATGCTGTTTGTGCCTGTCACGCTTTGCATGGTGGTTGTTGTTGCAACTATCAAGTCTGTCAGCTTTTATACACGCAAGGATGGACAGCTGTATGTATCAGTATTTTCCCCTATCTTTTTAGTGCACTTAGATAATTTTCTTCAAACTTCCATTTCTTTTGGGGTCTGATTCAAGCAGTGAACTTCCTCTTGCCACCATTTTCCCTTCTCCAAAGATAGTTTTGTTTTATTCCTTCCAGGAGCCAGACTCTTGTCTTTGTGGTAATGTTGACATTTGTTGTTTGTCTGGTGAGCAGTGGGGATATCTTGGTTGTTACTGCTTGATTCAAATCCTCGTCCTCATTTTAATACTTTATCATGCCGTGTGGTATTTGTAAAATAAACACCATCTTGAGCCAAAGCCATTTCCCTTGTACTATGCTAGAATACAAGAGTTTTGGAAAAAGAACAAAACTAGTATTGTAAATGAAGTAGCCTATATGCCATGTTCTGGTTTGCCCATGGTGTTTGATAAAGAAATTAAAATACAAGGGGAGTATAACTTCAGGCGGTTCATTTCTGGTAAAGTTATAGAAACTTTCCTGGCAGATGTTTCTGTAGAAGTTTTTTGGATTTTGGTAAAATATTAATGTTGGCAAAAAAAAAACAATTCCAGTGAAAGCTAATTTGAGAGAAAGGGAGCAAAGGAAGACTACTGAGCCTGTCAGAAACTGCAGCAAGTCATAGAATCACAGAATGTTAAAGAGTTAAAATAGACCTTAAAGATCAGTTCCACTGTGAGACAAAATGATTCAGAGTGTGTTTGGCTTTGAAATGTTTGTATAATATAAGTATGTCATAATTTTTTTTACGATTAGAAAAAAAAATTTTCTCTCTGTCTCTCCTTCCCACCCCACAATGAAGTAGTTGCCCCAGGAGATTGTATTTCTTTACAAAAGAGTGAGTTGAGCCCATACGTTGTGTTGTTGAAATCACAAGGGGAGCCTTTCATGGTGAATCCGTAGGTGAAATTCCAACTGCACGGGTCAGCACATGAGTGGTACAATGGGAGAGTGGCAAGAGACACGCAGCATGGGAGTAGCCATATCAAACTGTGGGCAGCTGTGGGCTTTATCTGCTTTACAAAGCAGAAAGCAGTAGTAATCTAAGAATGTAGGAGAGGCAGGTCTTCTAAGGAATTCAAGTTTGCCTAATATGATAATATGCCACCTTTCAAGGTTTGCCTTAGTAGAAAATAGACGTGCTTTAACAGCTCTGAATTGAAAGATTACTGCAATTTTGTTGGATGTTGGCCTCACATACCCAAAACATTGGTGCATTCAGTGTCATTTCAGTTGACTTTTTGTTTTTGTAGCATCTACACTCCTTTCACAGAAGAGACAGAGACAGTAGGACAGAGAGCCCTGAATTCTATTCTTAACGCAGCCATCATGATCAGCGTTATCATTGTCATGACCATCCTCCTGGTTGTGCTTTACAAATACAGGTGCTACAAGGTAAGTAGTTGTGCTAGTTTGATTTATTAGTACAGATTATTTAGAGAATGGAACAAAATGAAGGCTTATGAAGGAGGAATGAGTGAAAGTAGCAGAACTGGTGATGTAATTCACCATTTCAATTTTGTGGCTTCTGTTCTTTTGGCACAAAGCAGGGCAAAGGCCCAGTGCTATCACTGCCATCTGTTCTGTCAGTTAGAAATGCATTGCTTCTATTCTTTTGAAATTTTCATGCACTGAAATCTTGCTGTGGTCAAGAAATACAAAGGACAGAGTTGGCCCTATTTTGTGGGCCCCCTCTCCCTCCATGTCCCCGATACAGACGTCTCCCATCAGTGTGTGTGGCTGCACACACCAAGCAGTATTTGTGTGGCAAACACAGAGACTCTAAGGCTCTTTGTGAAAGGCTTCAATCTTGTAATGACATCATCTAGGCAAGCCCAGGCTTAGCATAATTAATTGCAGTGCCACCTGCACGGGAGGAGTTGTCCATGAAAATTCCTGGTTTGTTTTGGTCTTAATGATTCATTTGACAAGGCGTAGCCTAATAAAGCTTCTCAGTATGCAGCCAGGATCTTGAATCAGCTGTAAAACACATAGTGGGATTCAAAGGTTTGCTTCATTTCATTTTGTTTTTGAGATGAAACAGTGGTTTTGGTCTTCATGTCTGTGAGTGAAACCCCTTTACAAATTATCTGTGGAATGGCAGGGGAAGTTATTTTTGCCTGATTCTGTATACATTGTGGAATACGTTTTTTGATGTATGGACCTTCACTTTTATCATAGTGTGGTGTTACATCTGAACTGACAAAGTGTTCTTGTTAACCTGGCAATTCTCTTCATTCTAATGAAGTCAGCTACTGTGCTTTACCTAGGTTCCTTAGTAGCCACTTGGTTCTCCTCAGGTGCTGAAGGCAGCAACTAGTTTTTACTAAGCTTTTCGCATTTCTGGTTTCCTTCTTAACCTTTTAAAGCACAGCACATTTTCTTTACAAAAATAATTGTTCTACTAAAAATTAGAATTATTACATACCATAAATTTCCTGTGGTTCTATTTTATGCTAATTACACTAAATGACTAACTTATTTTTAAATTTCCTGTCAGAGTATTTCTATGCTTCTATATCAGAATGCTGTGAAATGTAGTTATCTGCAATAAAGTTCTATTTTACATGCAGTTCTGTATGTAGATTGTAGTCCAGATTATGAGGAATGGAATTTATAATGAATGAATCTTAGGTCTTCATCTGGTAGTGATAATTTGCTTATCCTCACAAGATTTTTTCTGAAAACTCTTTTGAAGAAAGGAAATACTACTTCAGCTTCACTGTTGTTAGTTTACTGTGGTTGTCTTGTACATGATATGTTAAGCATGATCCTGATTCTAGCTCCTCAATCTAACTGGAAGCAACATCTTTGAAGGGGATTGTATTTGATTAGCTTTTTCTTTTTAATTTATTATTATCTGCATTCTTCATTGTTTCACTCTGCCTAACCAAAGTCTGACTGCTGTAGCTCATTTTAACACTCTGCATCCTGCAGCTCATCCTTAATTTTTATTCAAGTTTTAGTAGGTAAAGCCAAATTTATACCATCAATCAATTAGCATCAAAGTTGTTGTTAAATAAAGAATGAAAATTCTTTAATGAGAAGGCAAAAGCCTGTTGTGGTACCCTGCTAGGAAAACAGCAAGCAAAACTTACAAGAAGTACTCTGGAAATGTCACTTGTAAGAAAAGAGACCCGTGATTTGGAAAATGCTGTAGTAAATGAGATACGTACTGAGAATAAAGCAAACATCTGTGTGTTAAATGCCAACTTAATCAGCTCTTGAATCTACCTCCTGTACTTCTGTTGACAGTAGTTATGCAAGGTGTGTGTAGAAGTTTGCTGGACTATGGCCTTGGTGTGTGACACTGTCAGCATTCACAATTTTTTTAGGATGAAACACTACTGTTCACTTTATTTTCTCACATGATAGAAGTTTAAGAGCTTATATTACAAATACAAAGACTTCAGAGAGAAGTCATGAGAGAGCTTTCTCTGCTGTTCTCTTAAAGTAGTTTCAACTAATTTTACAGACGAATAAAATGACTCTTGTTAAGTCCTTGCTTAGTAGCTTTACGAGTTGTGGAAAAATTTGGCTCTGCTTGAATCAATATATACTGATACTCACCTTTGGAAGGTTCTTTCTCCCACTTGCTGTGAGTGGTCAGAGTTTAAATACTGAGACAGATACTTTGGCAGTTTTCCTGCAGCATCTTTACAGGCACTGTGCTTATTGCATGTGGGAATTTCTTATGTCTTTTTGAGAACATACTAGCAAAAGCCAGTCTGTTAGATTAGGAAGTTAAATGACAGGTTTTGTTAGGTTGAAAGTTAAATCTGAACATCTTCTGAGAAGCAGTGTAAAGGAGGAGAGTGAATGTTTCAAAAATGGCCAAAAATTTTAAAAATGCATATGAAAAATGTATCATTAGACTCAATGTACTAAATTTCTAGCTGTAAGGGCTGGATTCTTGATTTGTCAGAAAGTCCTGGTTGCATCACATAAGTGTGATTCCTTTAGTTTTTGTACATATGCATTTTACTTTTAAGCTAATTTTTGCTAAATATTTTAAGAACATCAGATGTGTTCTACTGCACATCTTTAAGAAGAGGACAAAGAGATAACACATTTTTTTAACAGCTTCTGAATACTTTAATCTGGTGTACATATATAGCAAATTTAGCCAGGTAATTTTCCACTGATTGTATCTGTTGTAAGCAGGATTCCTTATGTAGCTTTGATTTCTAGATTATTGCTTCTGATGGGTTGTCTACATTTAATACTGGGTGAGGTTTTATAAAAGAGATTCTGTGCTGGGACTTTGACAAATATGTCTTCATTTTCAGTTAAGAGATACTAAGACATTACTGGAGTTAAAGGGGTCTTCAGTCGTGGTTTTTTCACTTTGCACAATAAATACCAGAAGAATGCACTTGCTGTTAGTGCAAAGTTTAAGTGCCTGTCGTTTCCAGGTTGAAATCTTTGAGTGGCCTTGCAGAGTACATCACTGAACTGTTCTTTATTGAATTGTTGGGCATGTAAGTCTGCTCTCATGTCAAAATTAGGGATTGTGTCTGTAGATGACTGATAAAGATTATCAAAATTCTTATATAGTCATTCATCAGTGACATTTCAGCAGATAAGTACTGAAGGTTTTTCTGGGTTCCAGCATTTAATTCTATAACTGCATTCTGAAAACTATTTGAAATCAGAGCAGCACAAAAATGAATCATGTTTTCCATCTGTGTTCATGCTGGATGATTCTGCCATGTTATAATGCCACTGGTATCAAAATGGTCTAAAAATACACAAACAGTAGTTTTCAATAGAGCTGAAGAACATCTACTGAAAGTTCACAAAGCACTTAAAATTCATAAGTGTAAAGTGAAATACACCAATGTGCATAGACTAAACATTAATGTAGCACCAACCAAAGAGGGAGATATCTTAAATAATTTTCTTGCTTTAAATAATAAACATGAACCAAAGAGGAAGATCTCTTAAATAATTTTCTTGCTTTAAACAAAAGGAAAAATAACCTTAAAAGTCTTTTAATATATGCTAAGTTTAAAATAACAAGCCTGAAAACATCTGCATTGATATCTTCTTCTCCAGGTGATCCATGGTTGGCTTATAATTTCTTCACTTTTGCTGCTTTTCTTTTTCTCATTCATCTACCTGGGGTAAGTGAACTATACCATTAATATGCTATTTTTTCATGTATCACTTTATGTATGTATTTATTTTAGAACTAGGCCTTGAATCTTAAGAGGAATGATAGTGAGTAAGCTATTGCAATAAAATTTTTAGTTTTGTATAGTCTGATAGAGTACACATAGAAGAAAGAGTGATTCATAGGTTTATAATGCATCTGATTAGGTACAGATGGTGTGTGTGTCCTTAGGATGCATCACCAGAATAAGCACATCTTGCTTATCAGAATAAGCATATCTTGGGAGGAGCTTATTCTGCTGACATGTCTTCTGATAACCTAATTTTTCATTGACATATGACTCAAGGGCAGTTGTTTACATCATGGCTTTGTTAGCTGTATATCCAAAGGCTGTTTGCATGGAAGTGGTAGAGTCAGCTGAAAAGAATCTACTGTCTCACCAAAATATATTCAGTGCTTTTCTTCTCAAATTTGGAAGCATGCTCTTGTCCGGACATCGAGAAAATTTGGCCAAAATACTCAGTATTGTCTGAAATGAGCAGCCTCCTCAGGGTTTGTAATTAGAGTTATGTCATGAAATTATTATACTCTATATATCTTTATGCCACTTGATGACAAACACTTCTCTTTGAAGAAGCTTATTTCATTTGGTCTCTGGAAGGAGAACGTGGTCTTCCCTTCAGTCACTGATTTTTGCTAAAAGTGATCTGTGATGCCTTTTGTGGTCAGTAGTTTCTCTAACCCTAACAATGGCTTTTGAAATACAAGGCAATTCCTTCATCTGCCCCTGCTGCCTTACAGCAGTGCTGGCTTCTTTTTCCCAGAGGTTCAGAGAGTGAGGGACCAGTTGTGTAGACCAGTTGTGCATGATGACAGTAAGGGACATCCTGTTAACACTGTACATCTCGAAGGTCAGCTGACAGCTGCAGACAGCAAGTTTGCTGGAGGAAAGTATTAGCAAATTATAGGGTTCTTAGGGTTCTTGATGAGTTGGTAACAGCAGATTCTGCAAAAAGCCTTCACAGCCATTTCTTCCCTGAGTCAGCGGAAATCACCTGTCACTTGGTGATGGCATTGTCTATTTTGGTTTTACTTATTGAGGTTCCTAATTAGTTTATAGTATTTGGTGTGACAGGGACATGGTTCATCCAAAAATAAAGCTTTTTGCTTCAGTGTTTATGGGGAATAATAGAGTAAACATGTACCTTTAAAGTTATCAAAGCGTTCTACAGGCAGCATATTAGTAGAGATCTTTGCCTGCCTTTAAAGGTCCATTATAACCTCACAAGTTCTGATTATTCCGATTTTTAAAACTTATGAGCATAATCAAAATGACTGATTTTGCAGTAATGTCCTTTCCTGTCAGCTTCTGCTTTGATTGAGAAGGAAATAGAACCTTAACGAAATTTTTTGAAAAAGCAAAAGAGTAGGTGTGAAGCAAGTACTGGCAAAATGTATCCTATTGTGAAGAATAGTTAAGTATTAATTGGAGAAAGAATTTTACATTTATGCCACTATATTGAATATGAAATTTTTTAAAAGGTATTCTGAAGTTTGCATCTGTGATTTGTTTCCATTGTTTCATGCAAATGCCATCTATATTATTTTCCTTTTTTTTTAGAGAGGTTTTTAAGACATATAATGTTGCCATGGACTACATTACAGTGGCACTCATGATCTGGAACTTCGGTGTTGTGGGAATGATTTGCATCCATTGGAAGGGTCCCCTTCGGCTCCAGCAGGCATATCTCATTATGATCAGCGCTCTCATGGCCTTGGTGTTCATTAAGTACCTTCCTGAATGGACTGCATGGCTTATCCTGGCCGTCATTTCAGTGTATGGTAAGTTTGGGAGCAAGGCACAGTTGTAGATCCTGTGGTGGGAATTTCTTTTATTCCCTGACTTTTCCAATTACCTGACTAGACCTTAAAAAAAAGTGTGTGTGTGTGTGTATCATCCAAAGCAGCAGATAAGGTGATTACAGACTTAATAAATAAGATCATGGTCCTAAACTGAGATCAGTTCTCTGCAGCTGGGCTCTGTATTACTGTATGATCCCATGTTCTCTCATGTTTCCTGGACTCTCTAGATTCTTTGAGGAGGAGAGCTGAAGTAATTCAAGAAAGAAGGAATTGAGAGAGACCCATTTTGGTGTTTTTTATGAAAGTGGAGAGCTTTCAGCTTCTCATTTTCCCCAAGAATCTTTGGAATCCCTTGTACATTCAGAATTTAGGAGCTTGTTGTTTCTGTACAGTCCCATGCAAGTATAGATTTGCCCAACCTATGAATTGCTCAAATTTGTGAACATAGGAGCAACAACCTGATCCATACCTGATAGTATAGTGAGAAAGAAGGAAGGATTAAGAGCAGTTTGCATTGCTCAAAGTCATTTTATATTTAGAAGGATATGGTTGTGAGATCTGCTTCTTTGACTTTTGTTTTATTATTATTATTCATTGTAGTTGTTGCATACTGCTCTTTTTCAGAATGATGGCTGAGAGAGACCTAGCTGTAGTTCTTCCATAAAGCTTTAGGGGGCACTGAGCACTTGGTGAGAAGATCACTGTATCCTAAATACTGATTTAATTTCCAGGCAAGACTAAAATTCAGTTACTTAGACATAATTAAAACATTGCAGTTAAATGAAGATGTGCTCTTAATTTGAATTTTTTTGGAGGCATGTAAGTGTGCTGAGTGTGTGCTCTCATAGTCACTGATCATGATAAAGACTGAGAATCTGTCCAGATGTAAGTGCAGGGGTCGATAAGATTTGATTAGCTCAAATTCATCAGTGTACTCCTTAAGTGTCCTCTTTCTTCAGGAAGTGTGTATGCTTATGGATCACAAAGCACATTAAGAAAAACTTCCCATCGTCCCACCCCATTTCCACCCTTTCTGCAACTGGAACAAATCTGAATGCTTCAAGCATTCAGCCTTTATTGAGTGATAGCAAAACTAAATTACTCGAGATCGAGTTCCAAGACCATGATATGGTTGTTTTGGGTACAGGGGTTGTAAGTTTTCAAAGCCTGCAACCCCAGGAGTGGGGTTTTTTTCTGTACTGGAGTGGGACCAGCAGTGGTGCCAGAGCAGTTGGCTCAGGTGCAGAAGGCCTGCTCTGAGCAGCACAAAGCTCCTGACTAGTCAGCTGTTCCTTTCAGTGTCAGATTGAGTTTCAAATTAATTTAAAGACATATGGTGAGTGGACAAGTGCAAAAGGCAGTAGCAATGTTAGCTCTGTATCCCAATATGCCTGTTTCACAAGAAGTAGGCTTCCCCTGTTGTCTTAAAATTTCTTTTAGTGTTAAACATAGATTACAAAAATCTTTCCTAATAGAAGGCAAGCTTGGGTATTTCTAAGATGGTAGTTGAAGAGTAGCTTTCCTGAATTATTCACATGTCAGCATATAAACACAGGTACATTTCCAGTTGCATAATATCTTAAGTGGGGAATATAATGTTTTAAAATTTGTATGCATATTACAGTAATATGTAAAATAGGTTGCATAACTGAGAATATTAAAAAGCATTGCTGTAGGAAAATCCTTAGTCAGGGTGAATTTTGTTACTTCAAGTCTCTCCAAGTGTTACAGAAGTGTTACAGAAAAGAGACGTAACTATGTCTGCAGGGATGTCAGATCTGTTTGCTTTTTCTTTCAGATTTGATTGCTGTCCTGTGTCCTAAAGGTCCTCTTCGAATGTTAGTTGAGACAGCTCAAGAGAGAAATGAAACTCTCTTTCCAGCACTTATTTACTCCTGTAAGTACATTTTGTTATTCTTTAAACTTGAAATCACCCACTCATCTGAAGCAATCTTCTCATTTGTCTGGGTTTAATAAGATGCTTTTCAGCTGAATTCTTGATCTGTTCACTTGGGCCTTGGTTTTCGTTTCACTGTTGACTGAAAAATGTGAAACATCATCTGACTGAGACATTTCAAGACAAAAACCAGCATGTTTTGTTCCAAAAGACAAACAGGAAGAATGGGAACAGACCTTGTTTTGGATAAAGTACTATGTCCTTAGGCTGTAAATTAAACCTGTTCAAAGGGAACAATTGTTTCCAGAAAATATTTACCAGCTTTCAGTCCTTAAATAACCTGTGTCTTAGTATAAGAAATGTGAGAAATTACTAGAAGGAGGTTTGTTTGTGTGACTGTTTTCTCAATGGCTTGTCCTTTTTGGTAAATTGTTTCTCCCTGCAGTTGTGAAAAATAACCTATTGAATTAAAGTTGCTGTTGTGACCTGTGTATCAGTTAGTGCATAATTCCATTGTTTGTGAAGTTCCATGTTGCTGCTTGTAGTCACGTGGATAACAGTGAAAGAGGCTAATCAGAAGCCATTATGCTGCTGGTGCTCCAGACAGGCCTGTATTTGGAAGCAGGGAGTGTGCTGCAGACTGGCCACTGCAGGGACAAGCTTACAGTGGAGAAAGGGGAGCACTTTCTTTATCTGTCACACTTGCACAGCATCAGTAAAATGTGGCATAGCTGCCTGTTACTCTGTTTTGTGAGAGGAGCAGTTAACACTGAGAGCTTGAATTAAGAAACACCTTTTATATGTAACAACATTTGGTTACCTCCAGATTGGAGGATTGTTTGTGATGGCAAAGGCAGAGAACAATTAACGTTGATGTAGATACTGCCTCTGAATTGACAGAACTCTGTAACAGTGTTTAGAGACCTTTTTACTTGCAGATAAAAGAACTGATTAAGGAAAAAAAGTAAAGAAATTGTTGATTTTCAGAGGGAGCCTTATATGTAGAAATAATTTGTCTGGCAACAGCTGTTGCCTTTTTTTTTTTCAAAATCTAGTAGAAATAAAATTTTATTCACCAGTTTTTGTAAATGTGTTGTTGCTGGTACTGGCTGTGTTCCAGATATTATTGTACTTTAATAAGAGTAAAATTGCCTGTTGGAAAAGATAGTTGTATCCAAAAAACCATGAAAAATGAGAAATAATGGATTGATGCTATCTCAGAATTTCATACATCTGAAGATAAAATTAGCTATGCTGTTGTGATTTGCATTTCTTTGATAGCAACAATGATATGGCTTGTGAACATGGCTGAGGAAGATCCAGAAGCCCAAAGGAAGTCCAAAACCTCCACTTTTGATAAACAAGGTGAGCTTTGCTTTGACAAACCTTTGTCACTTTATTGGAATACATGTTTATGGATACTTGTCTTTCAGTTTTTTAAGAGTCCTGGGTGCTGTAGAAGAGTGAAAGTATGGAGGCCTAATTAAGAATGATGGATCTGTCAAGACTTGAGATATTGTTTACTTATTGTGCAGTGAATGTTCTTGCATTCATTTTTCTGGGTACTGGGATGTTGGTGTTGAAATGACTCAATGTAAAACCACCAGCTGAGCTCAACTGCTTGTCAAACTGGGATGATACAGTATAGTACCAACTCATTTATATTTGTGTTAGACAGAAATACGCCTAGCCCTTTTGGCTATGCAGATAGTGTTTAAAACATGGAGTTTGTTTATTTATATGTGTTACTAAAGCAGAGTGCAGTTTCTGAAGCTTTCAGTAAAGTTTTCTGTTTCACTGGAAAATTAAGCTGCCAATGTCAAGTAAAGAAGCTAATTAAATATTAGATGGTAGTTTATTCCTTAAATTGTGATCTTTGTTAGGTCACTACAGAACTTCCACTTTCATGTGGATGTACTCCTGAATACTAGGACTTGAGTACAGCATGTAGGTGCTGTGACTGCAGAGTGTATATTGACTCCTGAATGTTTAAGTAAATATTAAAATCCTAAGAGAAGAAGTCTTGTGATTGCGTGTGCTAGTGTTAGATGTTGCTAAGTATTATGGAATACTTCATTCTGTCTTGTTCTTCTGTGATCTTATATGTTGAGTGACTTTCATATTTTAGAAGGCACATTTTTGGAAGAGTCTTAAATGCCTTTCTTCCTTTGAGCTCCAGCAAGCCGGGCCCAGAATGAAGATGCTGAAGCAGATGATGGTGGCTTTAGTCAGGAATGGCAGCAACAGAGGGACAACAGAATAGGACCCATTGAATCAACACCTGAGTCACGTGCTGCTGTTCAGGCTCTACCCAGTAACTCTCAAACAAGTGATGACCCCGAAGAACGTGAGTGTGGACTGCTGTGTCTGAAAAGCTTACTAAATCTGAAGCTAGTCAGTCAGGCATCCTGAGTGCACACATGCAGGATTCTGTGAGCTATTAGCAAGCTGAAACGATGCACTTGCTCCTGATGAATACTGATGTGCCTCATAGGAATAATGGTGTTGTTTTTTGATAGTATTTCATTTTGTTGCAGGGCTCCGTAATATTGACCAAATTGCTCTTTGGTTTGATACACAGACTCAAAACTTTTGTTGCACAAGCTGTTTTCAGACCATTACATGGTCAGTTGCATTAGCCTCTGTCTTTTTCATGCAGTGTTCTGCTGTGTGTCACCTCTTTTGGATTTTAGGCCCTGCAAATGGAGTCATTAACAGGTTTTTTATGCCTCAAGATTAAACTGCTGTGATCCACTTGGTAGGAAGCAATATTTAAAACCTGATTGGAGGCTGAAATGAATGCAGAATGCAATGGGCTTGCTTAGTTTTGTCCAGCATCTTGCTAAGGTGAAATATCTTTGGAAAGTGTATGATATCAGTGCTCAGATACCTGTTTTAACAGACTCATGATTTCCACTTGGGGTTCAAGCTGCTATTAGATATGCAAAGCTCTAAATAAATTAGGGTGTGCCTGTCGTGTGATACTGCCATATTTTAGCCAGTGCAGCTGCTTCCTCTGATGATCAGGTGCTCCTCTGTTTAAAAATACAGAGACTTCCACTTTAAGAACAGTTTTAAAATTTACTTACTAAAAAAGTCCAAATTCAGTATAGTGCAAATGCTTTTTAATTTCCAGAGCTTAAAAAAATAACATTGTGATGCAAAAAGTCTAGCAAGCGGCTCTCTCAATTAATTTTTGAACTAAAACTCTCATCTGCCCAGGCTAATAATTTTCTCCTGCTTGTATTCCAGCAGTGAGTAGTAATGATCTAGTCAGACTTGTCAGCCAGCATTAATTTACTAAAGTCTGGAGCACCCAAGGCCTGTTTCAGCAGTTTAAGGGTGTTTTAGTGCTTAAGAGCTTTTCATGAATGCACTGTTCTAGGCATTTTATTGGAGCCTGTTGAAAGAGAGTAGGGTTACCTTTTTTTTTCATGCATTTACTCCCTTTTTTCCTTTCCTCTCTCCCTCCCCCCCTTCATAATTAATCAAACATCCACCCATGTTTTGATGTTCTTAGTTCCTCGTGGAGCTCCAGAGTGAGCATTGGGCTGGACTGTAGTGAGGTGGGAAAGTAATCAGTAGGCCAGGTGAAAAAAGCTGGTCACCTGATGCTGGCCCTTCTTAATTAACATCTTGGACTAAAAACTCAGAACGTGAACTGGTATTCAGGAAATCTTACAGTGCTTTTAGAAATAATTGAGTGTTGTGCTTCCAGAGTTGTTGCTAAAGTGGTAATTACTATATAAAAGAATAAGAGAGAATGAATTTTCCTGGATCTCACATCTTGGACTAAGTATCTTGAGTTTTTGCCTTTGTGATATGCTCTGTACTTGCACACAAGTGCTTTTAAGAACTACCTGCATAAGAATTCCCTAGGAAAATTGGGAAGGCAGTGGAATATTTCGCAGTTTATAGGTTTCTAACTGGCAAATAATATATCTTGTGCAAGGGATTTATTTTTCCCACTCCCTCAGCCAGTTCAAAGGAATTGTTCTTTAATATTCTGTTGAATATGACAAGACAACCAAAAGTGGATACCCCTCCACAAATAAAATTACAGATATCTGAGTTTGTATATACTGCAGTTATAGGAAAATAGAATAGGGAAAGTCTAATTAAAGGGCAAATTAATTGAGTAATGTAGTGTTTCTTAGCCATCTTGTTTCACAGGAGTTTATCACTTGATTCAGGAATGGTACTAATTCTGAAAATAAAATGTTATTTTTAGCAAGTCTTGTTAATAGTTAATGTAAATATGTATTCTTCGATAATTACTGACATGTAATATTAGTAGATTGATACTTAATGCTGCCATATGTTCACTTTGCAGGAGGAGTAAAGCTCGGTTTGGGAGACTTCATTTTCTACAGTGTCCTTGTTGGCAAAGCTTCTGCAACAGCAAGTGGGGACTGGAATACAACTTTAGCATGTTTTGTAGCCATATTAATTGTGAGTATAATGTAAAATTATAATAGGGATAGTTTCTTATGTTCATGAAGGACAAAGTTGTAACTGCTGCATTTTGTCTTTGATCTTGTTTATTGGGTGACCAAACTGAAAACTGGTGAGGACTTTAGCTGTGATTTTCATTGGCTGTACATCTGTCACTAAAGCCTTTAATTTAGGAAGACGTAAAACATAACCTGTAGCATTAATATTTATACCTATATGTATTTTATATAATTTTTTGCTTGTCAGAGTTCCCTAATTTCTTCCTATGTCTTTTGTGTTTTGTTTTTTTTTTCTTCTCCTCAGGGTTTGTGCCTTACACTTCTGCTTCTTGCCATCTTTAAGAAGGCCTTACCAGCTCTTCCAATCTCCATAACCTTTGGGCTAGTTTTTTACTTTGCGACAGATAACTTGGTGCAACCGTTCATGGACCAGCTAGCATTCCATCAATTTTATATCTAGCAGACATGATTCTGAAATGGATATTTGTAGCAAATCTGGGAGGAGGAGAAATGGTTCCCCTCAGTTCTCAAGTGAGACTGAAGTATTCCAAAGCGGAATCATTACAGCTTCCCCCGATGGTGGTTTTTGGTTTGGTTTTTTCCTGAGGCAACTGCTGCACTGGCACCATATGATTTTTCCTGTGTGAAAGTGGCTTCTTCCTGACGGCCAGTCTAAGCCAGGTGCTGTTATATCAGAGGTCATCTGATATACATATCTCTGGTAAGGACCACCTGTGTGAAAATTGCTAATGCTTCCACCAGCAATGTGATCTCTTACCACAGGCTGATTGTTTTCACAGCGCTAAGGGTGCTCAGGACTTCCTTGATGTTAACAGAGGAAGCTGACAAATCCCATGGAGCTTGTCCCTGTAACTGCTTGAAGAGAGAGAGAGCCCAATCTGGACTTTTTCAGCAGTGATGTTCTGACAGTGGAGCCCTGAGTGTGCAACAGGAAAGGACTTTGTAGCAATTTGACAAAGGGAGAAAGTACTGTCACTCTAAGAGTGCTCCATGACTTCATAGCCTCTGTGCCTGAGTGTATTTGGTTTAGTAAATCTAAAACTTTTTTTCTTTTCTCACACTGGAACTAGAGCCTCTTCTCAGTTTTAATACTTTGCATTCTCAAGCATGGAGTGCACCTTCTTACACCTGCTCCTCTTTATTTAGCTGCTTAGACTTGGACTGAATTATTTGGCAGTAGAGGATCATAAGACCCTAATTTGGATCCTCCATTCTAAAAGGTTAATAAACTACATTAAAAAGCAGTTTGGGGACTTAACTCTTTGTGCTTTTGCAAATCATTTTGCTAGAACACCATTTCAAGCCCCGTGTTTGAAAATAGTCACTAACAGCACGGACTGCATCACTGGTGGATGTTCCTTTTTGTTGACATTCTTATGAAATAAGTAGGTGTTTGCAGCAATCCCAGATGAGTTTAGCTTGCCAGATCTAGAGATCAAAGTGCTATTAGGAGCTCTTCTATTGCACCACTGAAATCCTTGGTCATCAAAAACATAGTTTAGAGTTCTGTTGACCTGGTCAATAAAAATATTGGTCACTAAGCTGTCTAACACCTCAGGCTGGCAAGGATATTTTTGTGCAGTATCTTTATTGGTGAGGATGCTTAAGTTAGGTGAGAGATTGCTTACTGTCACTAAGGAGCAAAATTCGTGACCCTCTTCACTTTAATTACCTCTCTTGTGAGGAACTGGTGATTGACAAAATGAAAGACAATTCAATATCACAATTCAATATCAGTGAAAAGAAGATAGGAGATTTTGAACTTCTTATAAGAAGAGTCTATTCAAACCTTAAAACTGCTAAACTCTGATTTCTTGTTCCTCATTTGAAAGAACTCATTTATGAATAATTGCTTGGAAATTAGATGGGTGAGATGAAGTTGATTTTGCCATAAATTCTTACTGTGTACAAGTAATGTTTTTTCTTGGGAGCCCTAGGGAGTAGATGTGCATTCTATTTTACTTGCATCTTGATACTGGAGTCCTTGCCAAGTGGAGCAACTGTCAAAATCCTAACACTAGCTCGTTTTACCTTTTTTTCCTGGGGTTTTGTTTCAGTGCCTATAGATTCATAGGACTGAAACATAAGAGATTCTCACCAACCATTGCCCTAGTAAAGAAAGACTGTGATGTATAAATCTGCTTCAAAACTAAGAAAGGCTTTCTTTGGTTGTCCTTGGTGTAATAGATGTCTTTTCCAGTATGACTTGTTACCCAGTGTTAGCATTTACATTTTCATAAAATACATTGTCTTGTCTCATCTAAAGTACTTTCATTCATCTCATTTGTGTGCTGATTCATTGTGGATAGCATTAATAAACCAACTATATCAAAATTGCTTACAGTGACTTTTCAAGTCAAACTTGCTTGTGTTTTCTAGTTTAAATTACTGTTCCATATTTTCTTGCAATGAAGTCTGACTTAAAACAGGTTGGTTGGTGAGGGGTTTAGAGATTTCTGTTGTTGTTTTTTGATTGGTTTTTGCGTTTGGGGGGTTTTTTAACAAGACTTTGAGTTGTTTTTATACCATTGTAACTTGTTCTTTTCCTGAGCATTATATCTAAAAAATAAAATCCCTCATGTGTTTTGTTGGGCATCCCAGTTATAGTTCCATTGTATAGAACAGGTTTGCTAGGAGTTGGCATTGCTGGCATTTATGTACCTGAGCTGGCTCTCAGTTGAGGGTTGTTACTTAAATGCAGAAGTCATCTCTCTTATTTCTTTTTTGGGTTCGACATGCACCAGGGCAGCATCAGCTCTATTAAGAGTTGCTTTAGAATGTGTAGAAATGTACAAAAGCCTTTTCACGTACTTGAATGGATGTTAGATGTGCAACCCAAGGAGGAGCTGAGAACCTTCCACCGCTAGACTGCCAGTCTTCCACTTCCCAGAGCTGCTTCTGTTATTCTGAAGTGTTAATTTCTGAGCTAGTGTAGAGTTACAGTGGTGGAGACTATAAAATTTGTATTCACAGAAGCTGTTCAAGTCTGTGTTGGAATCTCAAAATAAGTTTAGAAGGGAAATTGCTTTTTTAAGCAGCTATATGTTAAAGTACATTGCTTATTACCAGGTCTTAGGTATACCTTCAAAAACCAGATGAAATTTTCTAGATTTGCCTTCTCAGGCCAAATCATGGTAGCTTATGTTTCAGATGAGATCTTGCAGCTAAGGATTATCTCAGAATGTAGGTCCAAATACGGTTCAGTTGCCAATAGGTTTTGTTTGCATTTGGGTTGTTACTACACAAGAGTGAAGGTTGTGTCACTTTTCTTTGTCTTGAAACACCGATCTAATTTGAGGATTCACCTCGGTTAGATTGTTGTAACTGAAAGATTTCTCATAAGTAGTCTGCATTTTTTGAGAGAGTTTCCATTATTATTAAATTAGTATGTTAATGACAGTGCATAGCTCTGAAAGAACTATGCTGTTACCTGAGTAGATTCATCCCTTCTGTGCTCAGGCAGATGGACTTGTAGCTGTTGTGTGGCTGTTCCAGTGGTCATACTTTGAAACTGACTATCACAGTAGCTTTCTCCCCCCATTCATCTTACATCAGTAGGTCTCCTTCTTTGGCTAAGATTCAATTCAATATATAAATGAGAAGGCATAATAGTTTTCTTAAATACCAGGCACTTCATTTGTCTCTATTTTTTTCCCTTTTATGGGAGGATTTAATCCAGGGCCAGAAAGAGACTCCTGGAAGTTGGTTTTACAGCAAAAGGCTTAGGGTGCTGTTGTACCTGTGTATGGCTATTATGGTCACACTCAAATTCAAGTGTCATCTGTGTAAGGTGCATCCTGAATGTGTAAGAATTTGATACTGCAACACATTCACAGTAGTTCTGGATGGGTAGATGATGACTTCTTTGAGCCAGAAAAATCAAGGGCTGTGCTCCACTACAAATGGCTGATCTCAATGTACAAAGCAGACACAGGCTACTTCAGGCGTGGGAGGCTGGTGCTTCTCGGATATACACATATATATGTGTACCTATAGACATACAGATTCATGGACTGTGGACCTGGAGATGACAACTCTTCTGCCATTAGTGCAGTCAAGGATTAAATATGCAGAAGGAAATTTTGGGTTAATGGTACTGTTCAACAAAACTTATCAAAATGCTTTATTTCAAAAATTACTTCTGACAATGCTGTTGAAACAAGTTTAATAGACTGTGGAACATGTCTGCACTGTGGTTGCAGCTCAGTGGTAACTTGGTCATTGGAAATGTTGAAATAAACTAGAATGGAATTATTTTACACTCAAAACATTTGCTGTTTTCTTTTTTACAGACACTGGTTTGTACATAACTTGAATTAAATGTGAACATTTTTTAAACATCTTTCTGGTTCTTGATAAGATATGGTTTTGATAGATTATTGCAAATTTTCCTGTATTTGTCTAATTATTAAAATAAAAGTTGCATGGATCCTGATTCATCTTGCTTTTACTACATTATTTTAAAGCCATCACTTAAAGCTCTTGGAGGCATAAGCACTGTAGTTATTTTTATTCAGCATTTAATGAGTAAGATTCCTTTCTTAAGGCGTTTTAAGTTGCTGCTGTGTTTCCTACCAATAGAGCTTCAACTGATTTTTGTAGAATTACTTTCTTCTAAAAGCTACTTTTTGTGTTCCTTTAAAGAGTCAGTCAAAGCCTGTTGCAAACGCACCCATAAGGTATAATTAAGGCATGAAAAATGAGATTATACTGAAACACCAGCTGGTACAATGAAGATTACCAGAAAAATACGTAGGATGTTCAGAAAGAAAACACTTCATGAACAGTGTTGTGTATTATGTATTGTTATTTTGAAATTGATTTCTTATCAATATGATTGAAACAGAGCTTTGGGGTTTTTTCATTGTTTTGGAAAAGTATTCACTGCAAAGTTCAAATTTGTTTGAGTTGACGAACTTCTGTTGAAGACAGTTTGGGGGTTTTTTGGGGTTTAACCTTTGTCTCTACATGAAAAACCTAAAGAGAGGTCCATCCTGGTAAGTAGAAAGTAACGTACAGGTGGTAGGAGGCCCATGTGGGTGAGCAGGGAGCTCCTAACTGAGCCCAAACAGGAAGTGGAGAAGAGGTGGGAGCGGGGGCAGATGACCCAAACGGAGCATAGAGTTGTTTTCTGATCTTGCAGGGATAGTGTTAAGAAAGCAAAGGCCCCTCTAGAATTGCATCTGACTGGAGATGGAAAAGGCAAGAAGGGAGGCATTCTACAATTATGGGAAGGCATTTTACAATTATATAATGGCAAAAGGATGACTTGGGAAGAACTTCAGGCAGAAGGTGCTCCTCTCCCCCACCCCTGCTGAGTGGGGCAGGGTACCTTGTGACAAAGGACATGGAGAAGGCTGTGGTACTTGTTGCCTTCAGTCTATTGGTGGGACGGGCTTTTAAGAATCCCATATCACTGAGACCAGAGGGAAAATCTGGAACAAGGTAGATCTTGATGGAAGAGGTCAGCTTAGGGAGCTTGCACTCAAACTGGATGTACTTAAGTGTGTGAAGCCTGACAGGTTGCATCCATAAGTGCTAAGAGAGATGAGTGATGTCATTGCAAGGCCACTCTCGATTGTCTTTAAATGGTCATGACAGCTGGAAGAGCCTCCTGGAAACTGGAAGAGAGCAAAATTAAGTCCTATCCTCAAGAGGAGCAGTAAAGAAGAGTGGGTAACCTACAGGTCATTCAGCCTTGCCCCAGTCCCAGGGAAGCTGACATGGAAAATCATGCTGGAAAGCACTTCCAAGTACCTGAAGGACAAGAGGATGATTGGGAGTAACTAGCAGGAATTTATAAAGTGAAAATCATGCTTGACCAACCTCTTTGCCTTCCACAATGGCTTGCTCATTGAGGGGAGAGCAGCTGATGTTGTTTACTTGGACTTGTAAAGATTTTCACACCATTTCCCATAACCTCACCATAGACAAGCAGATGAAGTATGGGTTAGATAAGGGGATAGTGAGGTGGACTGAAAACTGCCCAGAGGGTTGTGATCAGCAGGACAGAGTCCAGTTGGAGGCAAATCACAGGGCTCAGTACTGAGGTCAGTGCTGTTCAGTTAATTATTTGAATGATGAAAAGGAGTGTTCCCTCAGCAAGTTTGCAGATGACACAAAAATTGGAAGCAGTGGCTGACAAACCAGGTGACTCTGCAATGATTTAGAGGGACTTCAAAAGGCTGGAGAACTGGATGGAAAGCAATCTCATGAAGTTTAACAAGGGAAAAAGAAAACCCTCCACCTGGGGAAGAATAGCCTCAGGCATTGGTACCTGCTGGGGTCTGACCAGGACTTATCTTAGGCTAAATACTCAACTTGGAGCTACAATCTAATATGCTAGTTTAATTACCCCTGTGTTTTCTTACTTGCAGTTTTTAATATAATCTTCTGGGAATAGGTAAATAAGATTCCTTTATTGACAGTGTCAGCTCTCATAAAGAACTCAGCTTGATGTGTAGCAGTTACTGCTAGATTTTTTTTTTTAATTACCAAGAAATCTCAATTAAAGTTATATTTAAGGCCACATTCTGGCCTAAAATGCCAGGAGTTTGTGGACTCTGTAGAGAAAAGCATCTGCTTTCATTGGCAGGAACTAACAGAACTGAGAACTGGGTAAGGAAACAATCAATGGCTTCCTGAATTTTACAACCTGTATTTGTTTCTCTTCTCTTTAAATCATGATATGTTGCAGGAAAGATGATTTTAGCTTGG